CAAGCAAGCTCGCCTTCCCTGCTCGGGCCGCTTCTCCTCACGGCAGGCTTAGGGCCGCGCTCCCCCGCAGTGGGCCGTGCCCTGGCCGCTGGCGCGGTCGCGGCCTTCTCGGTTCCCGCCTCCTCTCCCGACTCGCTCGGGCGCTCCGCGTTGGGGTGCGGCCCCCCGGGGTATCGGTGTTTTGGCCCCCGCCTCACCTTTGGGTGGTGGTTGCCCTCACTTGCGAGGAACGAACGAGCGGGGCGCGGCGAGCCTTTACCGCCTGCTTCACGCTACCGTGTTTTTTCCTGTCTCTCCCCTCTCAAGCCTGCAGCCTGCCAGAGCCATCAAGCCCATCGACCGCAAGTCCGTTCATCGGATCTGTTCGGGACAGGTTGTGCTGAATCTTGGCACTGCCGTGAAAGAGTTGGTGGAAAACAGCCTGGATGCTGGAGCTACCAACATCGGTAACTTCCTTTACATCATAATTTCATAAACTGCTAAAGTACTTCTTTTTCCTCAAAACAGAGTGCATGGTAACAAATCAGTGCAAATACTTTTTGTTTGGGCTGAGCACGTTTGCCCTGATTTTAAACCTCAGATAAATAAACCATTTTGATTCCCAGGCTCTAGCTGGGCTCCTAGAACTACGTGATTTTGTCCGTGTTATTTTTATTTGTAGCCCTTTTTGCCATGGAATAAGGTGTGTGGCCTATACAGCAGTGGTGATTAGACTCTGCTGGCTGCTGGTTTCAAGCTAGCAGATGGTTAAGGCAGGGTTGCAGTTTTCAGAGCTGCCAGGATGATGATAGGTGTTGTAATTGGGAAAACTTCTGTTCAGGCAGAAGTGCAGTGAAGCTGGACTGTTTGTGAGTACAGGCGGGTTTGCGTTAGCTTGCTCTAACTTTTGACGGCTATGAGGATTTTTTTGTTCAAACTTGACATGGAAAACGGTTATCTGATAAAATTCCTTCAAGTACATAATTAATACTGAACATTGTGTGTGAACATACAGAATTAAAAGACTTTACTCAATTTTGTAGATATAAAACTTAAAGATCATGGAGCAGAACTCATAGAGGTTTCGGATAATGGAGGCGGAGTGGAAGAGGAAAACTTTGAAGGCTTAAGTAAGTTGAACCTTTTTCATAATTTATATTTGGACATTTTGAACGCATGTTTTCAGTGAGAAAGCTATTTTTTTAAAAACAAATTTCCTAAGTTTAGTAGTTTTAAATAGATATTCAGCTTTTATATAATGTGTGCATGACCTGGAAGACTTGGGCAAAACTAGACTGCACTTCTGTAGTGCTGTTGTGCTTACAGTTCTTGTAGCTCAGAAATAGGCTTTGATTTGATTGCCTATTTAAGTGGAATGAATAATAGAAATATTTATAGAAGAGAAAGTCTTATAAATGTTGATTTAGATTCATGCATGTTGATCATCAGTCGACTGTTGAAGAAGTCAAGCTTTGTGAAAGTGATTGGTTTTGAGAGGTGGATTATAAACTTGAATATTTCCTGCAAGTGAACTGACATTTCATGCCTGACTCAAATTTTCCATTTGCTAGTTTCAAATTGCACAAAATGGGAGCAGAAACGCTATTATATGATAAATGTAGCTAGCCATTGCAACAAATACCCATGTTTCTTTTTTCATATAATGACTAGGGATCTCTTTCACTATGAGTTATTCCTCAGTAACTGTATGTTCACAGTATGTACGTGGTACATCAGAAACTCCTGTTCCGGGACAGTGAAAGTTCAGGGGTGCTGCTGCTAACTCAGTTTAGCTGGTGGCTAGTGCTAGTGCTGCAGTGACTGTGTAGGCTGAGGCCTCCTCAGCCGTAGCCATGGTGGAGTAGGCTTACGCCTGCCCACTATATACCATGCACAGCACAGCACTGCAGTTGGTTTCTTCCAGGGCAAAATCTGTGACAGGTACATCAGTAGCAGAGGCAGGTGCTGTGTACTGCTCTGAGGCATCTTATAATGCACATACCAATAATGCTGTATCAATTTGGGGTGTAAGTATGGAATAACAGGTGTATCTGAGGATTTTAAAGTGATCTTGCTTATAGGGAAAAGGAGACAAGTGTTAAATTATTTTGTCTCTAATAATTATGTAAAATATAATGAATAATACAGAAGTTCTTTTGCTTCTTGATATGCATGCAAAATCTACTTGCATAGTCTCTTTGAAGTGAAATATGTATGTTAAATATCTTTTTCCAGCTCTGAAGCATTATACATCAAAGATACAAGACTTTTCTGATCTAGTACATGTGGAAACATTTGGGTTTCGAGGTGAAGCTCTGAGTTCACTGTGTGCATTAAGGTATTAATATTAACTTCATATTAGTGGAAAGTTACTATATGCACAAAAATAACTGAAGTTTACTACTATTGATAAAATAAGGCTTTGGAAACTTCCAGTTCCTTAATGTTAGGTTGATTTTGAGCAATAGGTGGTGTGAAATCCTGAGTCCTTTCCAACCAAAATTATTCTAAGTATTTAAAATTACTCTGTGATTCTGAGCACCCGATTGGTCCTTTTATGTACAAAATTTAGTGTTACTTAAGTATGAAAATTCTTACAGGATGGATCTGTGTGCTTGCATAAGTGTTTAATCCTCTAATGTAAAGCAGTGTAATATCTAAGTGCTGTTTGCTAGGTTGTAATTCATTAAAACTGCACTTAAACTCCTCCCAGACAAACTACACATTTGAAATAGCACACCTTTTGTACACAGCTCTGTGTGTCAAGAATATTCTGCTGTTATGTATTAGTATGAGGAATGTAGTCCAACAAAACCTGACTTCGACATTGCATTTTATAGGAGAAGAATGAAAGGGGTACAAATAAAAATGTTTGCATTCTAGCTAGGAAAATGTTACACCGCTCTCTTTGGGTATGGTTTTAGTTGTTTGTGGTGAAGAGTTAGTTTTAATTAAATCAGTAGTATTGATGTAGTTTCTATGCCTGATTAGGTCATGAGGAATAGATAATACAGTAAATACAGTGCTCACTGAGTAATTCTGTTGCCTCTTCCCTTCCATTAGTGATGTTACCATTTTTACCTGTCATAAGTCTGCAAAGGTTGGGACTCGTTTGGTATTCGATCACAATGGTAAAATTACACAGAAAACTCCTTTTCCACGACAACAAGGAACAACAGTTAACATACAGCAGTTATTTTATACTTTACCAGTGCGGCATAAGGAATTTCAAAGAAACATTAAAAAGGTAGGTTAGATCAGAAATTATTAATTCAAAGGAGTTTCATACTTCAGAATTTATTCTGCTGCATGAATATATTCATACTGCTGAATATATTCAGTTCTCTGTAGAATACATTGGTTAGACTATTTTATGCCTGTCTTATATCTTCATCTAATAAGAAATCAGTTGTCCTATATTCTTTACTCTTCTGTTTTGCCACGATCAGTTTTATAGGTACGTTCTCAAATTTTCAGATTTTGAAAAGAATCAATATCACGATCGCTTTTGTGTATTTTAAAATTGGGAACTGCTGGTTTATGGCTAAATATCAATCTTGTAAATATGCTGTTTGTTTTTAAAGCACTATTTTTCACTCTTTTTAAACTTTAGTTTGTAAAGGTTTTTAAAAAATAAATTAAAATCACTCCCCCACCCCCTTTTTGCATTATCTGCGAATGTTGAATGTTTTGTTTATACAATTTTGTTTTAAAAAGAGACATTTCATATAAATGTTAACTTTCTTTTTTCTTTAATAGGAATATGCAAAAATGGTCCAGGTATTGCAGGCATACTGTATTGTTTCAAAAGGAGTGCGGATTAACTGCACTAATCAAGTTGGCCAAGGGAAAAAAACCTCTGTGATATCCACTACTGGAAGTCCTACTTT